GGGGTGCCAGCACCCTGATCATTGCTGGGGCTCCTCTGGCCCTTCTCCAGCAGATACTCTTAATCTGTACACTCAGAATTATATAAAAAATGAAACCAAGATATTATGTTAGAAACTGGAAAATTTAAACTCAAGTAGAAGCTCTTACTATTATTCCATGATTTTCTTTTCCTCCTTGACTGGATCTCATCAGACCAAGCAGCCACTTGCACAAGCCACTGCCACCCAAAACGTGTGGCTTAGCTAGGTAGTGAAAGAAAACCTCAAGTTTAAAAAATTTTGTGCAATAAAATTCTTTTCTCTCAGCAGCTCTTCAAAGTGAAGTGAAATTATTGGGTAGATGGTTGGACTTGATGATCTTGGAGGTGTTTTCCAGCCCTCATGATTCTAAGACTCTGTGATACACGTTTTCTTGGGAATCCATGACCAAAATTCACTTACAGGTCTGCCTACATTTTATGGAAGTCTACAATGTACAAATGAAAACTCCAAATATATTCCCCTGAAGAGCAGAAAGCAGCACACAGAGGTAAAAATACATCTGGCTGAAGGGTGGATAGAAGATGGAACAGACAAGAAAAAGTTCTGCTCTCCTAACATTGGTCCTGAGCTAAAGCTGGACCTCAACTCAGAATCACAGAATCACTAAGGTTGGAAAAGACCTCTAAGATCATCAAGCACAACCATCAACCCCAGCACTACCATGACCACTAAACCATGTCCCAAAAACCACGTCCCTTCCAACCCAAACCATTCTGAGATTCTATGAATTGCAGGTGGGAAGTCACACAAATTCCACCCGTTTCTTTCTGGCAGACAGGACTGCAGCCAAGGGCAAGGACAATGTAAAAGGAGGACAATCATCACCAGAAAGTGTGAAAATAAAGAGGGATAAAAAAAGTTACTTAGTAAACAATAAATTCTGCTGTTAAAACTGTTCTTTCTGCCCAGCCATTCAAACCCATCATTACTGGATGCTTTTGTCTAGAAAAATGAACTGTGACTCAAAGCAGAGGAGCACTTGTGGAAAAGCAAAAATGCTGAGACCTTGCTTGGTGTGGAGGACCAGACAGGGTAGAGCTTCTGTGAGAGAGGGAGCATCCACTTCACCAGGAATGAAGGACAGCACAAGTCCAAGCAAACACCATCCAGCAGGGTTTCATGGCCAGAAAGAAGAAAACCACCACCCCAACCCCAAAAACACAGCAGCTTTGCTTCCAGCCCCCCGTTGAGGATCTGCCAGTAGCCAAGATCTCTTGGTCCATGAGCCTTCTGTAACAGGGAACAATCAACTTCCACCTCAGTTTGGAGGAGGATGTTTCCTACTTGGAATCCTCACCAAGAAGAGGGTGAGCTCTAACATCTGCCCTGATGCCACCCAGGACCCTTTGGACTGATTTATACCTGGTGTGGGTTTTTGTATGTGTGGGTGTCCATGGAATGTATGGGATTTACAGAAGAAGCCAGCAGGAACCTCATGAGGTTCAACAAGAGAACAGCAAAGTCCTCCACCTGTAGGAGAATCACCTTCTGGTGATTTCAAGAAAGAGATGGACAACAACTCCAGCAATGGGCCCCAAAGATGACCCAGGGACAGGATAATCTGACATGGGAGGAGAGGCTGAGAGAGCCTGGAGAAGAGATGGCTCAGGAGGACCTGATCCTGGTACCTAAACATCTGATGGAAGGGTGAACAGAAGATTGACCCAGTCTCTCCTCAAAGGCACTCAGTGACAAGTCACTGGGCATAAAGTGGATTTAAACAAGGAAAAGCTTTTTTCACTAAGTCACAAAACATGGCAAGATGTTGCCCCAGGAGTTTGTGGTATCTGAACTGGAGGTCTACAAAACCAGAGTGGCAATGGTCCTGGGCCACCTGCTCTGGCTGACCCCACTGTGAGCCATGGGTTGGGCTTGATGACCTCCACATAATCCCTTCCAACTTCAACAACTCCATAACTAATGCATAATGCAATGGAGCCTACCACAAGGAAGAATTCTCCTGTTGAGAGTAGACACAAAATCATAGCAGGACACAAAAAGATCTCATACAAGTCAAGCATGCTTTAAGAATCCAAGTCCAGCTTAGTTCTGAACCAGTATGGAGAAGTCATGAGAGCCCAAGCAAGCCAACAGCTTGCCCTGTAGGCTGGAATACCATGGGAGGAAGCACTTCCTTCCCAACAGACTCCACAGGCAGCTCTCAGCAGAGCCTCTGCACTTCTAGCCCTTTCTTCCAAGCTTTGTCCACCACATCTACCTAGGCTGTGGATCATCCCCTCTGCATTTCACACGCTTCTAGTCCAAGTGATGCACTGTCACTCACTGTCTGCCTTCTATTTCTAGCCAGACACAGTGTCCCCTTACATCTCGTGCACACTACAGGCCAGCTGCTGCCAAAAGTAGTAGTCTGACCTCTTCCCACCACTCCATGTGCTCCTGCCACTTGTGCCAGGTCCAGCAATTGGGGAGGGGCAGGAGGTTCTGGTTCAGCAACCCCATCTCAACAGCAACACGAGTTTTCCATCCCACCAGTGAGGGAAAGTTCTTCATCCTGGGGCTTTGCAATCACCAGATGTGGTGCAAACTATCTGGAGCACGAGTTTGAAGGTAGACACATGGAGAAGGGTCTAGGGCAGGAGACCAGGAGTAGCCATTTCAGTGGCAAACTGTTGGCATCACACAGAAGCTGAAAGCATCCTGTGATTGATTGAAGTCTTGTGTTCAAGACCACTACTGCAGTGCTTGAGTGGTCAGTCCTATTTCCTTGCCTCCAAGTGATTGTGACTCTGGACAGGGTAGAAGAGAAGGGTTTGAGGGCATTTGCTTAGTATTGGTGGGGCCACACCTCAAATCCTGGGGTCAGTTTTGGGCCCCTCACTCCCAGAAGGACCTTGAGGGGCTGGAGCGTGGCCAGAGAAGGGCAACGGAGCTGCTGGGGAAGGGTCTAGAGCCCAAGTGTGGGGAGGAGCAGCTGAGGGAGCTGGGGGTGCTGAGCCTGGAGCAAAGGAGGCTCAGGGGAGACCTTCTGGCTCTGCACAGCTCCTGACAGGAGCCTGGAGCCAGGGGGGGGTCGGGCTCTGCTCCCAAGGGACAGGACAAGAGGAAACAGCCTCAAGTTGCTCTGGAGGAGGTTTAGGTTGGATATGAGGAGAAATGTCTTAATGGAAAGGGTTGCCCAGGGCTGTGCCAGGCTGCCCAGGGCAGTGGTGGAGTCCCCACCCCTGGAGGGGTTTCCAAGCCGTGGAGATGTGGTGTGAGGGACACGGGGCAGTGGGGACCTGGCAGGGCTGGGGTGATGGTTGGACCTGATGATCTCAAAGGTCTCTTCCAACCCAAATGATTCTACAGTTCTAAGATGTCCTGGCAGCAGCTGAAGCTCATATGGCTACACTGGTACCACCAGGTCCCAAATCCTGAGCTATGGTCTGCCAAGGTAAGAGGGATTCCAGTGACAAAGGACACAGTGGCTCTTCACTTTCTGCCATAGCAGCTTGTGGAGAAGTGGAAAGCATTTTTTTTTTTGCCCATCAGGAGCACTTGGCTTGGTGGCAGTGAAAGAATCTGCCACTGGTTTTATTCCACGTGTATTTTAGGAGTCTTGGGAAAGCCAGATGCTTTCAGAAGGTTAGTGACCCCTGCAGCAATGACCAAGCTGAAAGATCCTGGCTGATACATCCTCCAGTGTGTGGATACAGGAATAAATGAGGCTGAAG